GACTTGATGATCTTAGAGGTCAATTCCAACCTTAATGATTCTATGGTTCTACGAGCAGTTCGTGTGAGCTTTAAATGTTACACAAAGGAACAACCAGCAGGGACACAACCTCCTTCCCCTGTGTGGGGCAGTTACTATCATCTGCTCCTAGACCCTCAGCTGCCCAGTCTCGCTTTATCCACGATGGCCCTTGGTACTTTATAATACCAGGTTTCCTCCCCAGACTTGCAAGTCCTGTTAGCTCCAGTCAGAGCAGAGAAATGACTTGGATGACTTTCCAAAATCCCTTCCAGCCAGAAATACTTCGCGTGAGGTGCTAAGATGCCTTGGGTGGTAGGAAAGGAAAACTGAGGTAGAAATAAAGCCTCTCCATGGCGATAGTTCATCCTCTTCCTTTCATCCAACTGCATTAGCCTATGCATGCAAACATCTTCTGTTTGGTTCTGGTTCTTCTACAGGAGGTCTGATCCTATTTGCCATTTTCAGTCTCGTCATGGATGTGTTCAAAATAGGATATTACTCCAGCTTCTACAGCTGCCTGTCTGCAATCAAAATAATGTACCCCATCGTGCAAGCAATATTCGTGGTTGTACAGGTGAGATGGCTGATCTGCCCCAGGGAAGATGCTCCAACCCCAAAGGAAGAGTTCAACAACTGAGGTGGGAGTAGGGTTTGGGCATGGGCAGAGCAGAGGCAATGGGCAGGAGGAGCAAGGAAAGAACAGCCAGCATACGAAACGGGCAGGACTATGGGCTAACAGCCACAAAGTGAAAGAGATCCGTGCTTCAGAATGATGATTTTCTTGCAGCTAAGCTTTCTTGTTTCTCCTCTTGTCCTTGCCAGACGTACTTCCTGTGGATCTCTGCCAAAGACTGTGTCCACGTACATCTGAACGTTACCAGGTGAGCACTGCTGCTCTTTGATGCAGAGGAAGGAGGTCTCTGCAGACCTCGTGTCTGCACTCATGCAGCTGAGAGGCAACAAGGGGATAATTCCCATCTGCCCAAATTCAACCTGCTGAGCACCCAGCAGGCCCCAGGTCCCGGCTCAAGCAGTTGAGGCTTATGATTGATGGATTGAGCAGAGCTGGGATCCAGTTCAAGGATTTGAGCGTTACTCAAACAGATTAGTATGAAATAAATAATTAGCACTAAGTAAAACCCTTCATAGCTGACTTCTTTCCTGGGAAAGACAAAGATGCAGTAGGCTTACCTGAGGTAAGCCTCAGGTTAAACAAGAAATAAGATCTTGTCCACTTTTGCAACACCAGAGACCAACTCAAACCTATTCATCCATTCTATTGTTCAAAAGCAACAAGAGGATTTGGGCTTTGCTAATTCTCCTGAAGATGGACGCAAGGTAGGAAGAGAGTGAGAGGAGCATAAGAAAAGTTTGGGCTTTACAGCCCTGACCACTAAAGCGTCCACAAACCTCCTGTGGCAGTTCCTGCAGCCCCTCTGACTGCGTGCACATCTGCTATGTGGATGGGAGAGATGTGGCATAGAGCCACGGCCTTGATCTCATCATCTCTTCTTTCTGCAGGTGTGGCTTGATGCTAACTCTGACCACAAACTTAGCGGTGTGGATGTCAGCGGTGACAGATGAATCTGTTCACAAAGCACATTCAAAGCTGAATAAAAATACAACGGAGGAGCTGTTCAGGTGGCTCCTGAAAGGTAATTCCCTCATTTGTGAAGCCAGCTGGTCCAGGGATTGATCTGAAAATCAGGTTTTCAGAAGGCCCATCTGGAGCTGCTATGTTAGCAGCCAGGTGATAACGTTCGTTTCCTAACAAATAGACGGAAGAGTCAGGAAGGTGGAGGGGTTTGGATAAGTGGAATGGGAATGAAGAAAGGAGGGAAAGAAAGATCCAACCTGCTGCCCGTCTGGCTTCTTTGGAAAAACACAAATACCAGAAAGCTGAAGTAGATGTGTCCTCATTTCCAAAGCGGTCACATTCTTTTGCTGGCTTTGTTTTCTCTGACCCAAAGTATTCGGTTTTCTGGGGCTGCCAACAAGTGCTGGCTCCCGCTGTAACACCGCTGCGTCTGTGCTTTCATCTTCTTTCAGTGGGAATGAGAAGTGGCTCAACAGAAGCATGCAATTGCGACAGCCAAATCTGCGAGATCTTCAAGAACGGCTACTTCTGGCTGTACCCCTTCAACATCGAGTACAGCCTGTTCGCCTCCGCCATGGTTTACGTCATGTGGAAGAACGTCGGGCGCTTTATAGACCACCACTCCCACCACGTCCAGCACCTCAAGTTCAAGCTCTTCCGAAGAACCTTCTTTGTGGGCATTGTGCTGGGCCTCATCATTCTGGTGGGCGGCTTGGGAGTCTTTATCGTTTATGAGGTGCAAGTAAATTCCAGCACCGAGCCCAGCAAGAAGAGCCAAGCGCTCACCATGTACTACATCTTCAACATTGTTTGTCTGGGCCTGATGTCCCTTGTCTGCATTGGAGGCTCTGTCATCTACCGCTTCGACAAGAGAGACATGGACCGGCACAAGAACCCGACGCGGACGCTGGACGTGGCGCTGCTGATGGGGGCTGCCCTGGGGCAGTACGCTATTTCTTACTACTCCATCGTAGCCATCGTGGCCAGCACGCCAAGGGACGCCATCAGCGCGCTCAACCTCACTTACGCCCTCCTCATGATCGCCCAGCACACTTTCCAGAACATCTTCATCATTGAAGGCCTTCATCGGCAGCCCCCCAAGGAGGACCACAAGCACAGCTCTCACCAGAAGGAGCTCTACGGTCTCACCTTCGTCAATGTCAATGCGGTGTCCCTCCGGGTGCCCGACAGTGGCAGCGCGTCTGCACCGAACCCTGCCCCCAGCACTGAGGGCACCCATCCGTCCGAATTCGTGCGGTCCCTCGTGGCCCCCAAGAAGATAAACTGGCAGAGGAAGCTCTTACGGGAGATCTCCATGTTCCTCCTGCTGTGCAACATCATAGTGAGTACATGCAGAGAGAAGAGCTCCTCGGGGTGGGGGAGGAGGGAAGCAAGCGCGAAGGAGGAGTATCCGTGCGCCCATACAAAAACTGCCCTTTCTGCACTCCTACTACACAAGCAGCAGGTTTGTTTGTACCTGTGAGAGCAGGCAGCTGTAATTCCCTCATCGCTTAAAATAGCAGCTGCCCTGCTGTTCAGGTGTTTTAGGCTATGCTGGCAGAGGCCACCCCTTGTCAACAAGAATATAAGGAGTTGGGTGGATCCAAAGAAAACATCTAGTTCGGGGGCTGAAACCAAACAGTCATCAAGGTCCCATCCAACCCAAACCGTTCCATGTTTCTATGTAGAATGGCCTGAGGTAAAGTGTGGGCTTTCTGGAGAAAAGGCAGCACAGCTTTTCTCAATACCCACAGCCTGGAAGCCTGCGCACACAGAGCTGCTGCCAGCTCAGCCCCGCTCCTGCCTGCTCCACCCAAGGAGCCGCTGCCTGCGAGCGCAGCGCGCCCAGCCGCGTCCATAGCGAGGGCTTTGGCGCTCGGTCTGAGGCACAGATTGCAGTTCTTTGGGGACAGCAGACTGTACCCGATCTTGACGCCAACCCGCGCTCCTGGCCCAGGCGGTTCTCACCTCTCAGTACCATCAGTGCAGGTTCGTGCTGTGCTATACGCCTTTCTCACCGCAGGGTCTTCTCCCATTTCTCAAACAGCTCTGGATCATGCCAGCATTTGGTGCCCGGCCCCACTTTGACAATGACACAGAACTGAACTTCTATGGTGATTCCATGTGGCCGGCCATCGTGGACATTTGCCTGCCCTTTGGGATCTTCTACCGAATGCACGCAGTGGCCAGTTTGCTGGAGGTCTGCATCATGTCCTGATGAACGCTCTCGTAAGGAAGATGAGAACCTCCTCAACCCACCCACCTTCGTCCCCACGTCCCGAGGGCTCCTCACCGCTGCCTCAATCGTGTCCTCCTGCAGTGTCGGGGCATTTCTGAACTGTCAGTGAAAATCATCTCAATGTAGCTTCAGATTTTATTTTTGCTATGTGTGTGTGGATGTGCACGTGAGCGTGTTTGAAGTTCTTAGACCTTAAAGAAAAAAAGAAAAAAAAAAGAAGGAACAGAGTAAGACGATGGTAATTACCCTCAGTTCATGCAGAGAATCACCTTCCTCCCTCGATCCCATTCACCCCACACGTCACTGCTTTACTTTCCCAGGAGTGTTTGGCCACACGGGCAGTCACTGCCTGTGCAGAGGGGTCAGCACAGGAGCGAACGGCAAGGGGAAACCAGTGCACTTCTGGTACGGCCAGTCAGAAGCCGCCCACTGCCCCGCAGATGTGAAAAACCCCCGCTGCCACCAAAGGCTCTGGGAACGCTCTGTCTGCCCTCTGCCTCGCCTGTCCCTGCCGCCGCGCTGAGCCCCCCAGCACAGCAGGGTGGGTGCTGATGGCTGCACCAATGTGGGAGGGCTGAGCACAGGGCTGTCCTGGCGCTTTTCCCCCCTCGTTTTCCTGAATCAGTGCTCAAGAGCCGTGAAGATCATAGGGGCGAGGGAGCACAATGAAGAGGTTTGTTTTTCTTCTCTTCTTTTTTAAATAGATGATTTTTTTTTTTTAATAGCTGAACCTTTTTGTACGCAAAATTATTTATTGATGTTCACTGTAATGCTCAACTCCTGGAGGGTCCCTCTGTGCCCTGCAGTGCAGAAATCATCCCACCACTACCACTTTCCCCTCCACCTCCTGTGCCCTCAAGATAGGACTGCAATGCACCTCCAGCCCTGCAAGATTCGGGGCCCATGCACACAGCCCCAGCACGCACCTCTGGGCACCTGCAGCTCCCTGTGGACCGTGGCATCACAGAACGGGTTGGGTTGGGAAGGACCTCAGGAATGATCCCGTTCCTCAGCTCCTGTTCCGTGACCCAGGGCTACAGGTGGTAGGAATGGGCTCACTGCACTGCACAGCGCCCAAGCAGAGCTGGGGCTGCACACAAACTGCCTGGAGAGGTGTGTGCCCCAAGGGCACCGCTGTGCTTTGCCTGCACCCCAGCACATCCGTGGTTATCATTCAAATGAAGAGTGCTCCAGCCATGGCAGAGATTGAGTCTTTTCCTACAGGTGTGTGTGTGCGCATCTGTCAAAGAAAATAAAAAATAAAAGCAGTTTGGGATACCTGGCATTGAGCAGAGTGGTTTTCCTAACTTCTCCGCCCAGGGACTGCCTGGATGCAGCTCCTCAGCTGGGTCCTCCCCTCCATGGGCCTGGGAGCTGCCCCCTGCCCCTCCCGGCCCCACGGACTGGCTCTTATTTCAGCATTGACCTGGTAAGGATAAAATCTCTGCCCAGAAACACTACCTTCCCTAAAACAAAAACTCTCTCGATTTCGGCTGCAGGAGCCACAGGTTACGTCAGGAATGAGACGCACGTGGTGCACGGACGTCACTCTTACGTACAGCCTTACGCTGCTTTACCCCACACTGCTCAGGGGAAATACCTCCTACAAGCACAGCTCTGCTCCTTGGGGGCACAACTGGTTTCCTCCATCACACCTCAGGTTCCCCAGCCTGGGCACCAGTAACTGCTGGGGCTGAACGGGTGCAGGGGGAGATCCACTGCAGCCCCCAGTCACAGAGCCACAGAACAGCTTGAGTTAAAAGGGACCTCAAAAGACCAACCCAGTTGGTGCAAGGCGACAGGGCAGCAGGAGCCACAGCACCCAACCACAGGACACCCCACTGGGATAAACAAAACCCTGAGAATGCTGCAAACTGTTCCATCCCACACTGCAGCTCCTGGGCACAGCAGTGCCTGTCTCTGGAAGACAGCCCGATGCAGTACCTGGAAATGCAGGGATGCCATCAGTCGAGAGCTGTTCTGTCCTTTGCTTGTGTGTCCCTGGGACAGACGCCTGCAGAAAGCACCTCTGTAGGCTCCTTCTTCCACTCCTGGAGGTGGGGACACTGAGGCACCTGAATGGGGAGAAGGACATTCCTCCAGGAGGCTGCTTAAGAGGCAAAAAATGAAGAGCTGCAGGAAAGCAAAGGGCTTCAAAGGGCTTCTCATGTCATGTGAGTTCAGTGGGAGCTGAACCCACCAACACAAATCCAGCAGCCCGAGGTCAATGCGGGGCCTGCGTGGAGACAGGCAGCGAAGAGCAGGAAATCAGAAAGCGCTGCTCCAAAAAGAGCAGGGAAGGTCATAGGAAAGGACATGGGCAACGACCTGAGTCAGCATCCCAGTGCTGCCACAGCTTTCCATTCCGTCCTCTGCTTCTTAATCATCTGTTATTTGAGGGCGAGTTTTGTTTTATTAGGGGAAAAAGAAGTCTTTTATCGGGGTGATTTGCTCTGAGGCGTGTCAGAGACAGGGGAAGAATCCAAGTTAATCATTGCTGTCTTGCTTCCAGCTGTATTGAGCTGGAAGTGGATGCGGGCAGAAGTCCCAGGGCAGGGGGTGAGGATGGGGCTGCAGAACACAGTGGGGCTCAGGCCTGCAGCAGGAGCACAGCAGGGCCAGGGCAGGGCTGGGACAGCGCTCTGCAGGGCTGCAGCCACACTGAATCTCCCACCAGGAGCACCCGGATTCAGGGGAAGATCCACACAACCAGTGAGGAAAACGCGGTGCTGAGCATTACCAGCACAGAGCCTCAAGGGCTCAACCTGCCCAGCTCTGACGGTGACCCCAGCGGGTGCTCACCCACCGGCCCTGCAGGAGACGTCACTGTCACAGTTATCAGTAGAGGGAAAGGAGGAAGGGTGTGGGCTGGCCCGGGAGCCATAAGGCACACAGCATTCCTCAGAAGGCCCTTGGGCAAACACAGCCGCTGGGCACCAACCTCCTTCCTCCTTGGCTCCTGTTTACAGATCCGCTTGGCCCAGCCTGGATGCTGTTAGTGCTAAGCGCACAGATAACGCCAATAAGCAGCTTGTTGATAGCAGAGGGGCAAACATCACTGATAGCATTCAGCTGCTTGCCCTCAGCTTCCCAGTAAAGGCAGCTGCTCCCACACAGTGATTGGAACTGCCCGGGACTGACCCAGTCAGCTCAACTCATCCTTTCCCATTCCGCCCCGCTCCTGCTTACTTAACGATTGCATCTCTTGTTAAACTTGGCTCAATACATCTAACTGAAACACCTGCCATTCTGAGAATCGCAGAATCATTCGGGTTGGAGGAGCCCTTCAAGGCCACCCAGCCCACCACCCCCACATCCCTGGTGCCACATCCCCGCAGGCTCAGCACCCCCAGGGCACTCCTCCCCCCTCCCTGTGCCACTGCATCGCCACTCTTTCCAAGCAGCATCTCCTAACAGCTGAGCTGAACCTCCCCCAGCACAGCTTGAGCCGCTGCCTCTCTCTGCCCCTGTGACGGAGCTGCGATCAGACCTACAGCCCTGACTCTAACCTGGGCTCCAAAGCCAGAAGACACGCCAGGCTTTGAAGTACAGCCCTGATGCACAGCCCCGTTGGAGAAAACCGCAGGGACACTCCCAGCCCTGGTGTTTTCCTTCAGGCCTTTCTTTAATGGAAGAACCTCTGATTTCACCCGGTCTTCCTCACCTCAGGATACAGACTCCTGGCTTCCATTTCCCAGCTCAGTTTAATTTAGACTGATGAGTACTGAAAAACAGCCAGATTTGCAAATCTCACCCACATGCGAGTCATCAGCTTTACTCAACAGAGAGCCCAGCAAATAGCTCTTGGGAGATCCCTGTTCGCTGCAGAGCCCCCAGGTGGGGTCACGAAAGCAGCCAGCAGCCCAGGACAGCCCGATGGTGCTCAGGGAGCGGCGGAGCAGCGCTTCCTTGCTCCTCCCAGCGGGACGGAGCTGCTGACGCTTTGGGGCATCTCCCCGTGGGGAGTCCCAAAATCCTCATCAGATGACAGCATCCCAGCTCTGCCCCACGAGCCGAGGGTTGGGTTGGACATTAAACACCACCGCTTTACCGGCACAGCTGAGGCACAGCTGACGGCTGCTCCGTCACCTGTGGGCGTTCTCACCTAGAAGAAGTGGGCCCCTTTTGCTCTTGTTTTCCATCCCTTTCGTCACATCCCGACGCACGATAACCCGTGCTCCCCCACCCACTCCACCCGCTGTTGGGCTCTTGAAAGCTTTTCCCAGCTCTCGCCTCCCAGCTCACGTGTTTGGCAGCTGCAGGAAGCAAGGTGCTGCTGGGGGCTCATCCCGGGACACAGACAGCCCCTCCTCACATCAGGCCAGGCTCACTCAGAAATGTCAATCCGCTGTTTTGAGCCGCACAACCAGAGCAATCAGCTCACCACAAATCCCAACCAGAAATCAATGCGACACAAGAGGGAACAGTGACAGCACAGCTCGGACCCAGAGCATTCCCAACGCACGGCTGAGCCCAGGGGGTTTGCACATGAGCATCTGGAGTCAACATTTACAGCTCAGAGCCATTCCCCAAAGCAGCCACCTCTCTGCCAAAAATCCTCAAGTTGATGCAGTCCCCACACTTTGGCTGGACCACAAGCTTTGTCTTTTGGAGCAGTTGGGGTACCTGTGCCATGGGTAAAGACACAAAGAAGTGGTACACCAGAGATAAACCTTCAGAACTACCTGGAAACAAAGGAGCGGGGACCACGAGTGGATGTTAGCCAAAGTTAAGTGCTCCCATCTCTGTAGCCCAGAACAGGCTCACACCACAAGATTAGCCTTGAATTTGCTGAAGCCATGGCACGAATTAGTCACAGTGGCTTGTGGTTTTACCAGTTGGCACATCCTGTGCCAAGGCTGCTGGCATGGGGCAACTCAGCAGGTGCATAAAGGAGCCGTTTCCCATTGGCTGCCCTTGTCAGAGACGAGAGCGTCTCGCTGACTAATTAATGTAATGACAATAATAGACCCAAAGTAAACAAGGTGGAAAAAGAAAATCAATGGTCTCGGAGCAGAGGCCGCACTGAGCGGGGAGCAGCGCTGCCGGCACCTCAGCCCGGCAGGAGAGGCACAGAGCATCGCAGCAGCACGGCTGGGAGGTAAGGACAGCCGGCTGCTCACAGCAGCACACGGGTCAGGGCACGGGGCCTCAGCAAGCAGCTGCTGTGCACAGCGCCGCCCGGGCCCTGGGTCCTCCGCGGCGCGCTTCCTTCTTGTTCTCCTGCCCCTAAAGCAGGGTAGGAGAGGGGAGAGCCATTGCTTCTGTGCTTGTGTGAGAGCTAAACAGGAGGAGAGCTTGGGCGGCAAAGAGGGAAGGGTTTAAGGTCCATCTCCGTTTGAAGTGCACTGAAGCCTGTGGACCAAAGGCAAACAGCATCTCGGTGTGTGTGTGAAAGAAGAGAGAAACATTTAAAGGGAAATTTAAAGAAGAGGGAAATTTAAATCCCTTCTCAGACAGCTTCTGCCTCAAAGCCCCATGACAACTGTACACAGTTCCCACCCCAACGCATCCCCAGTGCTTTCAGCACAGCTGCAGCCCCAAGCAAAAGCAGCTCCCATACCCTGACCCCATGGGGAAGCAGCTCTGCCCCACCGCTGCTCACAGCCAGAGATCACTCTGCCATGGGCAAATCTAGCGAGGTCTTTCCCAGCACTGCACAGAACAGCTTCCAGGCTGTGGCCATTTATCTGAGCCAGCCCCTCAAAATGCTCTGGATCAGCTCATGGCTCTGTGCTCTTCGCTCTGTGCTTCAAGGAGAAAAAGAAAGAAAACCAAACGTTAACTCTGCTCTATTCTCAGCCCCTGGGAAGCCAGGCTGGGTCTTTTCCTCGCAGCTTGGATAAACTTACAAATACTCTTTATTCCCCTCGTCAGCTCTGTCATGATTTCTGCAGCCATATAAGGAGCCCGTAAGCACAAGGAGGAGGTTGTCCCCACCAGTCAGAACCAAACAGCTCTGAATTCTAAAGCAGGTCTGAGTTTGCTCTTCATTCCCATCTATAACTCCTGGAGCAACAGAGAGAAGGAAACCTGAACGTGGGGCTGTGTGTGGAGGTGTGAAAGGTGAGGATGGGAAACTTGGCACCTCTGATCCCAGCAACTCCCAGTGCTGGTGGGGCAGTCATCAAATACCTCTTTTAACACCCGTGTTTATTGACATCTTTTGGCAATGTGACCTTTTTCCCCACTACTCTACAGTGACTCTGTCCCTTAAACCTGGGCTAAACCCTGATCCATTTTCCCTGCTCACTCAACTCTCTCTATAACCTTCCTTCCCCTTTAACTCCTCTCTCTGCAGGTGACCCACAGGGAGCCCAGCCATGCCAGGCAACAAAGCCTCCAAGCAAAAGCCTTGCCACCACTGCAACAGAAGGTCGGCCTCAGCCCCTCCAGGCACCTCCACGATCCACTATGAGAAGTCGTGGCTGTACCGGCACTGCTCCCTGCAGCAGAGGGACAGACAGGCTCAGAAATCGGGGCAGCTGTTCTCAGGGCTGCTGGCCCTGAACGTAGTGTTTCTGGGCAGTGCTTTCATCAGCAGTATGATTTTCAACCACGTGGCCATCACGCTGGCGGACGTCTGGATCCTGCTGTCCATCCTCAAGGTCTTGTGCCTGTGCTGGATTATCTACTACCTGCTGGGCACCAGCCGGCAGCCGCACGCTGTGCTCTACCGGGACACCCATGCTGGGCCAGTGTGGATCAGGGGTAAACCCTGCTTTAGTTCATCATCCCATGCCTTTCCCTTTCTTCCCAGTGCTTGGAAAATACAGAAGTTCTTTCCTTGCCACTAAGAGCGTGGAGCCACAGGAGATGGAGTCAGGGCTTTTCCAGGGCACAGCTTGAGCCACAGGGAGGAAGCAGAGCAGCCAGGAGAGCCCTGAACTCAGCTGTCCTCCATCCTCCTGAGCAACCCCACGCTGCAATCCCTTCTCAAAGCACAGCCTCAGCTCAGCATCCGAGCACAGCAGCCCTGTGCTGCTCTCCTTTCACAGAGTAGCATGGCGGGAGGTTTCTGCCCTGTGAGTCACATCCCAGAGTGACATTGGCTTCCCTGGGAGTTTCTCACACTTTGCGGGATGCCGCTTTCCTAAACAATGCTGCCTCTACCTATTAGGAAGATTCTAACTAGTGCAAGCCTTCATAATTAAGTGTGGAGAAGTGAAGGGAAGAAAGCTGAAAGCTGCCTAAAGACCTTGTGCAGATAGAGAGAAAAGGGGGGAGCAGCAGAAAGGTCCCAACCTCTGCAGGGCGGTGCTGCAGAGCCCCAGCCTCACATTCTCCCCAGGGTATTCAGAAGGTAGAAACCAATCACCTGCCATCCTCTTACCTCCATCACTCCAGAGCGCACAGAAAAGGCTGAAAATTCCATTCCCACCTGCTGTCCAAGCACAGGAAATACCTTGTGCTGTCCCAGCACCTTACGCCAGGCTCAGCAGCCAGGCTGCCCTTCCTCCCCTTGTCTCAAAATCAGGAGGCCTCCAATCAGACAGCAGCCCTGCTCAGAACCAGGAGTCCTCACTCCCCATCCACACTTGGATGCTCCACAAACTCATCTCTGTTTATTCAC